AAAAAAAAAAAAAAAAAAAAAAAAAAAAGATCCACTTTGAAATTTGGAGTGTTAAATAACTGGAAAATACAGTGATTTTTGCACTTTCATCATTGAAAGTGTATACCAAAGAATTTAATTAGTTATGTAATTTCTTTATACCTTCGGAATAAACATGACATATATTATTTTTGAATTCTTGCCAAAGTGTTTAAACCATTGCCTGGTTAATTCTAATTAATTGTGCCATGATCGTGAGATAGGGTTTTGTTATAACAACCCCATTAACCAGATTCAGGACAATTACTGACCTTCAGGTGTTGGAAATTTTGGGTTTTTCTTGATGAATGGCAAGTTACCATTGTATTTTAGGTAAGTATTTTATATCCAGTAGAGATCTATAATTTTTCAACTAGGGTGTTCAGTTTTGTGTTGTATGTGCATGGAATGATATTTTTGGACAAGAACTTAACTTTCGGCTAGAGTGAATTTTTTATGGAATGGTACCAGTGCCTAATGTTTCTCTCTCTTAATCCACTAGAACTCCCAAACAAATGGAAAATTAAACAAACAAACAAAAACTTCACCGAAATGATATTTCTTACTTAATTTGTAATTGACTAAAATAATTTGCATATGGATTATTGTTTTAATAGGTTCTCCCCGGAAGGAAGATACTTTATTCTTGGAACAAAACCTTGATATTTCAGTTCTATGACTCTTTTCTTTAATGTTGGAATCTGAGCCTTCGTCTCACTGTGCAATCTATTGTAGGTAGCGTGTATGCAGCTCATCAATGCCCTTGTTACATCTCCTGATGATTTGGACTTCAGGCTTCACATCAGAAATGAATTTATGCGTTGTGGATTGAAAGACATCTTGCCAGTAAGTGCCCTGCAGTCTCCTTATTAATATTTAAATTAGAGGAGTACTTGAATAGGGGGAAATTTAGATAAATTACCTTCAAGAATAATTTATCTGTGGGGGAAAAAAAGGCTCGAGTATAAAAATTTGTGAAATATAGATAAGATGTGAGTATTATTTAACACTTTAAGTGTTTGAATGCTATAAATCCAGCCAAATGGTTGGCTTGTTGTTTGTGTTTTTCATTAATTTTTTTTGCATTATTAAAAAGAAAACCATTGATTGTCATTTCTATTTAATATCTCTAGAATTTAAAACGTATGAGGAATGATGGCCTGGATATCCAGCTTAAAGTGTTTGATGAGCATAAGGAAGAAGATTTGCTTGAGTTCTCTCATCGCCTCGATGATATTAGAGCTGAACTTGAATATCCTTTTGTTCTGAAGTTAGTGAAATATGAAAAATTCTTGCTAACCCCCAAACAACCAATCTTCACCCCCCGAAATATTGAACTTCTGAAGCCGTTTCGATATAAACAGTATAAAGTCAAACCTTTATGAATCAGACTGATTTTTATATAAACTTTTCTGATTAGTTTAATGTGTGTATTTCTGAGTACATGCATATGTAAATCAATGTTACAACCTACAAATGGATTTTGTTAGGCTGTGTGTGTGTGTGTGTGTGTGTGTGTGTGTGTGTGTGTGTACACTACCTGTTTTTTCTTTTCATGTTTGGCAGCTCCTTTCCTTTAGTGCTTTCCAGCATTAGGGGAAGGGTGTCGTTAACTTGCTTGTTGGCTCCTGCCCTACACCTTGGGGGAACACTCACATGGCCTCTGTTAATTCTGTGCTTTTCCAGAAATCCACCAGGTTCCTGTCCTCTGCTGGGGCTACTCCATGGTGGCTAATGCCTGGCACCAGCTCTCTTGGTAAAGAAAACTTAATATGGTATTTACAGCCAGTTGCCTCTTACTCTTGTCTCCAGCAACGTCTTGGCATGAGAGAGGCAAATGGTTGGAGTTGATGGTGGAGGAGAAGCCAGGGAGTGTCAGGTCAAGTTGTCATTTGCAAACTGTTTTCCTCTCTACTCTGAAACCTAGAGACCTGTGTTTTATTTGATGTTAAGTATACATGATGCCCACTTTAGACTAAGGCACATAATAGTCTTTTGAAGCCTTACAGAATAGATTCTGTGCTATGTTATTAGAGTTGTTTGCTGTAGAGGATGAATAAATTCGTGTATTCCTTAATCAGTTTACTGAAGCATATGATATTTACAACATGGTGTGGAACTCAGTTAAGGAAACTAGAGCAGAAGGATATTTCATTTCTATTCTTCAGCATCTTTTGCTGATTCGAAATGATTATTTTATAAGGTAAGAGGAATTATTTTGTAAGGTAAGAAGAAGAAGCTATGTTTTTTTTTTTTTAAGTTTTTTTTTTTTTTTTTTTTACTTATTTATTTGACAGAGAAATCACAAGTAGGCAGAGAGGCAGACAGAGAGAGAAGGGGAAGCAGGCTCACCGCTGAGCAGAGAGCCTGATGTGGGGCTCGATCCCAGGACCCTGGGATCATGACCTGAGCCGAAAACAGAGGCTTTAACCCACTGAGCCACCCAGGCGCCCCAAGAAGCTATGTTCTAATGTTTTCTTTCACTAACAAAATTCTATTGATTGTGAAAATCTCCTGATGTTTGGTTTGGGCAAGCAAATAATTTTCAGATACCTATTTATGCCGTAATACTGACTCATGGGTTTGTACTTAGACAGGTGATGGTAAAATGATATTACTGTTATGTTTTAAGCTCCAGCAGATTCTTGGTAACAAGTTTTCATCTGAATAAAAATGCACACTAGCAACAAATTACTAATTTATCATGTGATGGGTACTATTTTCTGTTTAGTGTTTAGGTAGTAGGAGTGATGTTGATAAGTTTCTTTATATAAGTTACATGAAGGGTACTAAACATTGCTTTTATTAGTGTTTAAGTAACTAGCAAGTGTCTTGATAATACAGTTGCATCTAATGTTGCTAATGTATCAGAAAAGCTAGACAAATGACATTTCAAGTTTGATTATATCCTAGCCATCTTGAGTTTAACAGATTGTTTATCTCATCTGTATGTTGTCTATCTGTAGCTGTGTGAAGATATTAGCACCTAAGTTGCTTGGTTGTTATGGAATGGAATGGAATGGAATATGGATTATTCCTGGGTAAATCTCCTAGCCACATGTTGTATCCTCAATAAATGCTCTCTATATCCTCTTTCCACCTTGTTACTGTTTTATGAGGGAAGCCGAGATCCTTGAATTTAAAATCTTTTTTTTTTTTTTCCCTTTAATTTAGCTTTCCGGAAATCTCATTCTCAAGTCCTTTGGGCAATAAGTATTTTCTTACTCTAATTTCATGTAGAAGAATTTGCTAGACATGTCTCATTGAGGCCGTGTCCTTTGGTTGATGTCAGAGGGTGTAATTTGGGCTTTTTATATAACTGACAAGTGAATAGAGTAAGAGTCAAAAAAAAAAAAAAAAAAAAAGGTAAAACTTTAGGTTCTTTGGGATGAGTATAGATCATTCATCTTATCTTCTTTTGTAAATACTAATGTAAAATGTTAATATATGGATCAAAATATTAATGAAAATACTAATAATTTGATTAAAAATATCAATACATGGATTAAACAATATTTTTAAATATCAGAGGTACCTTGCTGGTAATTATACTACTATTTTTTCCCTAATATTCTTAAAAATAAAATTGAAACTTCCATTTACTCTCAAGTACCCTATCCTTTTCTTGATTCCCATATGGTTGGTTCGGTCAACCTCCAATTATTCAGTGCTGTTTGAGTTTTCAAGAATTCAAGAATATTATTTGCTTTCAAAGTTTTCCATGTCTTAGTGCTGCTAGGGGGGTTATATCTTATTTTTGATCCTTTCATTTTAACCTAATCCCTTAATCTGTGCTTCAAGAGGATAGGCGGTTGTGTCTACCTTTAAAACAGATTGAAAAGTGCAACTCTCTTAGGACCTGCTCAGGAAATTCTATCACTTTAGTAGAATTAAGAGTCTCAGAAAAGTATTAAACCATAGTATCCCCAGAGCAACATTAGTGAGGTATAGAGTGTTAGTTATTTCGGTCATTTTTCAAGTATCACATTTATAGTTTGATACTTAACCATGATGCATTCTTCCTTGACTCTTTAAGCCCCAGGACCTTGGTCTTTGTTCCAGATATGGTCCCTGTGAAGGCATTGTTCTTCCTATGACTGCTCTAATCAAGACAGTTCCATCCATTTTTTTGCCCATATTCTCAAATTCTCATAGGTATTTGTTATTGTTATTTATTCTAATAGAGAATATATTTTTATTATAAGGTTGAGTCAGATTAGGGTCACTTAAGTTTTCATATATTCATTTAAAAATTATTTAACTTTTTATTTACAGTAAAATTTTCATTTAGTGGTGTGCAGGTCTATGGATCTTGCTCTTTTGGTTTTAGCTTCACTTTTTTGGTTTTCACACTCTTAGAAGGACCTGGCTTATACCTTTTAGAAATCCTTGATTATTGGAACATTTTTTTGTTTACTGAACATTCTAAACACATATTGATATTTTTTAAAGGTTTTTATAAATGACATTATTTTCGAATGCAAGTTATTCCCATTTAAAAGAATTAGTGGATTGGGAAATTAGAAATTTTGCTCACCTTCTCATTTGGAACATTTGTTCCTCTTGGAACAAGAGGACATTTTACTGAAATGGAACTCGATTGGAGACTGTACATGAAAGGTAGCTCCTGGCCCCAAGAAAAATGAAATGGGGAAAGATAATTGGAGGGTGGAGTAGAAGATCAAATCCACTTTTGTAACAAATACTCAATGGCTTACATGTGCAAAATATTCTGCTAGTTGAATGTGCATGGGAGATAATTTGATATTTGGTAAAAATACTAAAGAGAAAGTGAAGATGATTTTAAAATTCCTGCAACAAAAATGATCTATCAGTGAAGTAATGACAATTTATGTTCATCCCTTAATTAGGTTATTCACGTATTCCCTGACATAGTCACTAACTCACCTATATTGCTCATAGAGATTATTTTCTAGATTTATTTGTCTGGAATCCAGAAGTACATTATTTTATTTTATTTTGTTAGTGTTGCCTTTAAAGAGGTTTTGCATGAAATTTCAGCTACTTTGTAAATGAGCTTATCATTGGGGGCTATGGAGTGAGAAAACATACTGAAATTATGACTTTAAGAAAAAGAAGGCCACAAAATTGCCTATGTTAATTTAAAACCCGTTCATATTAACAACACTAGGATAGGAATGCCTGGGTGGCTGAGTCAATTGAGCATCTGACTTCAGCTCGGGACATGATCTCAGGGTCCTGGGATTGAGCCCCTTCTGAGTCAGGCTCCCTGTCCAGCAGGGAGTCTGCTTCTCCCTCTAACTCTGCCCCTTCTCCTCTTTCTCTAGAACCTCTCTCTCTCTCTCCCTCTCTCAAATCAATAAATAAAATCTTAAAAAAGCCAACACTAGGATAGCATTGAATAAGGGGAAAAAGGAATCAAATGTTTTCATCTCATCTTAGTTTTCAAATGTGATATAAACGTGTGCAGTTTTTGCACTTTAACAGTAAATGTGGTTGGTTATTATGGCAACACATTAGGGAATGGGAGACCACTTTTTTAAGAAAAGTTTAGAATATTGAGGAAAGCATTAGTAATACTATCTTGCTTTTATATGTACCCAGGAAAAGTGTCTTAAAACATTTTTAGTTTATGACAGTCCATGACCATTTGTCATCTTTGCTAATGCTGTGAATTTTATTCAGCATAGTGGGTCATTTATTAGATGTGAAATAAGTAGATGAAGGGCAAGTAGGTCACGGTGTGTAGGGAAGAGAAGCTCAAATGACTAGAGGCACCATCACATACATGACGAGAAAGATTTGGCGAGGAAATGTGTGCCAAAAGTCATTGAGGGAAGAAATAAGTCTTGGGGCTGGCTGGGGATGAAGGACTGACCTCCCTGAGATTGCACCTACCCTTTCTGTCACTCTAGTTTGGTTTTGTCACTGTAATCTGCTGGGTATTTCTTTTAAATTTGTTGGCTTAAGTTTTAAGGGATGTTCTTTTGCTTATTACAAACAGGTGGACTGAAAACATGATCCCAATTGGGGATTGTAGTTAAACTTTAATTTTTGGACCAAAAAAATGTTATACTCGATTTTTTCAGTTGTCTTTTGAGTAAGAAGTATTCCTTTGGTATTTATAATTCACAGTATCAGTTTTTAATTGGACTCCACAAACATTCTTAAAACTCTATAGTTTTAAGAACCTTTTAGAGAATTTTTTTTGGAGAAAAAGGTATGCTTTTGGCTTGTGTTAATAAAATTAATAGTGATAGCTATGGTAGTGGCAGGTTGATATCTTTTGAGGACTGCTTTTAAGCACATATCACTTCATCTTACTATTCTTTTTTATTGCTTACTAATTAAGTCAAGGTTCTGATTTTTGTAAGCAAATCATCATTAAAGCACTCTATTTGCTAAAAGAACAAAAATTTACTCTCTTAAGATCATTAGAAGGAAAGCAATGTCTGTTGAGTTTCCTTTCTCATGTTAAATCTGACATGTCTATGGTTGAAACTGCAGAGGTGAATTACTGAACTTAAAACGAGCTTACCAAACTGCTTTGATGGAGAGTTGCACTAATAACCTGGATGTCCATTCATTCTTCTTCTCGGTTTTAGGCAACGATACTTCAAATTAATTGATGAGTGTATATCTCAGATTGTATTGCATAGAGATGGGATGGATCCAGACTTCACATATCGAAAAAGACTAGATTTAGATTTAAGTCACTTTGTCGGTGAGTATTTCTCTATTATTTAAACGGAAATCTTTTATTATCCCTTAACCCGCAGGTCAGCTCTGCAGCATTGGTTCTCATCATGTGACCTGTAGAGCCCTGAGTGCCCTGGATACCCTCCCTTTCAGGGGATCTTAAGGATCCTAAATTGCCTCTTCCATTGTGTTGATACTTGTGCTGGTGATGAAAACAAAGGTGGATCAAACTGCTGGCCCATGGTTAGCAATCAAGGCAGTGACACCAAATTGTGTTAGTAGCCATCATATTCCTCACGCTGAGTAAAACAAAACAATGAAAACTGCCATATTTTACTTGAGTGTCCTTGATAACTGTTAACTGAAAAACATTTTGTTAAAAATCTAACCCTTGAGTACGCATTACTTTAATATCCCCTAAGACAAAATGTCTTGTCTTTACACATTTAGCACTTCCAGGTCCCCAAGTACAATGAGCACATAGCTGTGGATTTGCTTAAATTGCAAGCTGAATTGGTTGATTTTTACTTTGAAGGAATGATTGTCATGAAAAGCTAGGGCTACTCAGGCATGATTGTTTTGGCACACACTTTTTAAAAAAAGAAAAGCAGGTCTATAATGTCAGGGAAAACAACTGATAGAATTTGTTACCAATGATCGAATTCAAGCTTTCAAGTAAAAATTTGAGTTTTGGAAAACCTGCATCTGCTACTGTTAGCTTGACAGCTTCCCTGTACTCAAATTTGTTTCTGATGAAATCAGTGGTGATTATTTTGATATCATACGATGAGATGTGTCAGTGTTTAGAGACTCTGCAAACCACTCTTTTCCGAATTCCAGTGCCTGATAACCAGTTCTGCATGGGTAAAGAATTCATGGATTTTAAAGTTAGAGTACAAAATAATCATTGATATGTGATTCCACATAGCAACTAATGTGGAAGGAGTATGTGTATGTCTAATTTTGGCATGGCATGAAAAAAGAATATCCCTTATTTGAGTGAGGTGGTTTTTTTCTTCATAGGATATTTGAGTCCAGGAAGAGGTATGGAATGTATAAAATGAGAAAGAAAAGAGTTAATATTAGTGGCACTGATAAAGAAAGTACTTATTTCTCTCCACAGGAGAGAAGCAATAAGTTCCTGATAGTGGGAGGGACAGAGAAATAAGGGAAAAAGTCTTATGAGTACGAAGCAAACTAAAATGTGGAGCAGTTTTGAATAGTATTTGAAAATCAAGTTTATTCTACCTGGCAATCGATTAGGAATGCTTTTACTTGAGTAGATGAGAGGTTTTAGACATTGAACCCTTGAGAAGGAAACAGATGCCATGACTACTACTTGGCTCTATGAGTGAAACATATTTACTTAGTTATAACAAATACATTGTGTGTGTTGATTTTAAATATTTACAAAAAACTTAGAGGCACAATGCAGAAGACTTAAGAGAATGTCAATGTGTTCGTGTGAATAGGTGAGTGTGAGGACCTGGGGTTGGACATTAGGGTAGAAAGATGATGGAAAGTATGGGGTGCAGATAACTTCAGATATTAGAGTGGAAATCAGGAGATGCTGTTTTCATAACAGAGATCAGAGGTTTAAGTATTTATTTAGTGTTCTAGAGCCAGCCATTTTTGAAAGCAAAATTATTATAATAAATGGGATTAGACAAGGAACACTATTTTCATCTTCTATTATAGGAAGCTATCTGTAATATATTAAATAGATAAATCAAGAAATTATGGTATATACATTTTATGTAGAGTTAGGAAGCTAACTGCCAGAGAAATCCAATAAAAGAAGAACTGTAAGAGGTGGTAGTTTAGAAATGGAATTGAGTTTTTAGTGTAGTGATTTGTTGTTACTTTTCATCATAAGCCTTCTGTAATGTGTTTTCTAAAACTGTGTTTATGTATTTTATTTAAAAAAGAAAGGCACTATTAAAGTCCTAACAATTTCAAGAAGTACCAGAATAAAAAAAAAAATTGTCATTGTAATTTTAGATACTTGCATAGACCAAGCCAAACTAGAAGAGTTTGAAGAGAAAGCATTGGAACTTCACAAGAAAGTAAGTAATTTTGAGTAACTTTGGAAGACTCTCTGAGGAGACTTCTCAGGCGTGCTTCTGCCTCAGGGACTTTGCTTGGTGTTCCCATTCTCTCCTTTACCTCCTTCAGGCAGCACAAATGCCATCTGAGAGGAGGGTTTCCTAGACTATTTAAAATTCTAACCTTCCACTCCCAACCCTGACTCTCTCTCTGTTATGTTTTCTTCTGTTGTATTTTTCTGACATGCCACGTGGTGTCCGTGGATGTATTGTCTCTTTCTTCCTCCACAGTAAACTCTAGGAAGGATTTTTGTTTGTTTGTAGGTTTGTTTGAAGGATTTTGTTTATTCACTGTCCCTGTACCTCAAACAGTTCCTGGCCCTCAGAATTAACAACAACAACAACAAAAATACGTGAATGAATAAATGAACAAAATGTATTTTCCTCAAGAAATCCTGTAACTTAGGCCCTTAGGGTTGAAATTATATCTAAAAGTTTTAAAGCTTAATTTTTGTTTTGGGTAAAGTTGCTTTCTTAGATCTTGTTGAACATATAAAACTGTCATTTTTATAGGTCAAATGTGTCTGATATAGCAGTTCGTTTGTTTCTGCCCAGTATTGGTGACAAGCCATTCCCTACTTTTCTTTAAGGTGCTGTTCTGTGGTTTCATCTCTGTTCAGCATGGACCTGTTAGACTTCTTCTCTGTTTTGAAAAATTTACGTTGGTGTTCTTCACATTTTAAGTAGTCACTCTGAATAAATTCTTGTGGCTGGTTTCTCACATGGGAGGAATAAATGATAATCACTACTACCAGCACCTGAATGGACATACACTAAATGAACATTTACTCTGTGTTTTGTACCATGCCTGAGGGGCTACTTTTTGGATCTACCAGGACCTAGATAAATCTTGAGAGAATTGTACATTTTTATAACTTTTTTTTTAAGATTTTATTTATTCATTTGACAGACAGAGATCACAAATAGGTAGAGAGGCAGGCAGAGAGAGAGAGAGGAGGAAGCAGGCTCCCCACTGAGCAGAGATCCCGATGTGGGGCTCGATCCCAGGACCCTGGGATCATGACCCGAGCCGAAGGCAGAGGCTTTAACCCATTGAGCCACCCAGGCGCCCCATAACCTTTTAAGATAATATAACTTGCAGATGATAGGCAGTCTTTCAGTAGTTACTGGGAATTTATGAAAAACTGTAAATGTCCTGTGTGAGAAGTCCTGAGATTCACCACTTAGTGAGAGGTGACTAACTCCTGGCCTTTGGCTGCAGACTAGGATAACAGCTGCGAATATGCTACTGTCATTGCCCTGCAGTGATGTAGGAGACAAATTAGTGGGTCATTTAAGTATCATATGTGCTACAGTTGATAGGTGATTGTGTTGTAAGGTGTCACCTCACCCTGATCTTGTATTCCAACCTCACTACTTCTCTACTGTTTTAACTTTTCATGAGAAAGTAGTAGTAATCTTTCAAGTACTTGATTTGGTTGCATCCCAGATAGTGTAAATTTGCTTTTATAATCATTTTTAGGTGTATGGTATATAGGAGTATTGTTAAATGTGATACCCTTCTCAACATATTGTTTTAAAATTGTAAAGTTTAAGAGTAAGTGGAAGAAAGACCTTGTTCAAGGTTACTTGTCTCCTTTTAGTCAGAAGTTATATGTCTTAGGTATATTCAGAAAATATTGTTGGCTCCATAAAAGATTTCTATTGCCATACCATTTTGTATATATCAGCAAGAGCTTCTTTCTGATAGCTTTATACGGACACATGTAAATACTTTGCTTTAGGCAGGAAGCTATCATAGTTGCTAGACACATTCTTTATTTTGGTGCATAAATTTGAAAAATGAAGACCAGAAATGTCAGAAAGTACATAGAGAATATTGAATTATCAACCTTCTTGTACAGATGCACTAATACATTTACCCTAGGGAATGAAATTAAGCAGAGCTTCAGCCTTAACTGTGTTTCTTGACATTTTTGCGTGTAATTTTGTAAGCGTAATATTGCTTTAGTAACTCTTTTTGGAGAAGAAGGCTATCATATTTGTTTTTATAAAGTATGTCTTTAATGGAGATTCATTTTATCCCCAAGGCTACTGTGATTTGACTATAGATACTATAAAAATGCTAAAGCAAAGTTTATATTTTGTCTCATCCTGTTAATAGGGTAGGACGTAGAAATTTCTCTCTTTGTTAAATAATAGAGATACTTTAAGTAAGACCAAGTTAATAAGTTCCTTCAGAGTATACTAATTATGAGTCTGGCAGTTTTGGTAGTTTTATCTTTTTCCATTAAGTAGTCCTTTTTCCTCCCAAAAGTTACTCTAAGCCATATGAGATAGGATTGTGTACATATTGATATTGTGAAGAAGACTTCATTTTAACTCTCATAAGACTTTAATTTTTTATTTCTTGCTAAGCAGCAGTAAACATTGAGCAGTCATAAAAGGGAGAATAGAGAACATGACCTCTCAAAGATTTTTCATGCTGGGAGATTGAGGAACTTTAATATATGATATTGACATCTTTATTCACAACATATAAAGGGAGATTTGACAGGAATTGGCTCCATCTGTTCATTCAAGAAATATTTATTGAGTTTAGTTTAAAATGTAAGGCTTTGGAAAGGTGATGAATAAAATACGTTCTCACTATTAATAAGCTTCCAGGTTGGTGAGTGTTACTGAGGTATGTGATAGTGCATTTCAATATTTTTATATTACAGTGTAATAACTGTGATGGTAGTTAAACCGTCTGCTGTGTGTGCCTATAGAAAGGGTTCCTCATCTAGTCTTGGGTGGCCAAGGGAGGCTTAGCCAAGGAAGTGATAACTAATATGAGGCGACAAACTGAGATAGCCAAGAGGGAGGTATATGGAAATGTATTGCAAATTTCCTATAGGCCTCTCAAGATTAATATTTCTGAAACCAAATTCATTTTTCTTTTCCTTAAAATGCTCTTTCAGGAGCACCTGGGTGGCTTAGTCATTTACACATCTGACTGTGTGATTTCCATTCAGGTCACGTGGGTCGTGAGATCTAGTCCTGCGTTGTTGGGTTCTACTCTTAGCGGGGAGTCTGCTTGAGATTCTCTCCCTCTGCCCCTCCCCCTGCTCTCTCGCTCTCTAAAATAATCTTTTAAACAAATGTCTTTCCCTCAGGTATTTTATATTCCTATTTCCCCCCTAAAATTCTAATATTTAGTTTCCAGCTTACAAAGGAATAAAACACCATCGTCATCTTAGATATACTTCCCTTATTCATTTCCTACATTGTTATACACTATTTAGATTCTGGTTTTTGTTTTGTTTTGTTTTATTTTGTTCAGTTTTTTTACAGATTTTATTTATTTACCAAACACAGCGAGAGAGGGAATACAAGCAGGGGGAGCAGGAGAGGGAGAAAAGCAGGCTTCCCACTGAGCAGGGAGCCCTATGTGGGGCTCAATCCCAGGACCCTGGGATCATGACTGGAGCCGAAGGCAAACACTTAACGACTGAGCCACCAAATGCCCCAAGATTCTGTTTTTTGTTTGTTTTGTTCTGTTTTATTTTAAAAGAGCAAAATGAAACCCTACATTTTTCCCCCCATTCCTCTGTCTTCTCCCTTTGTTCAGGTAGGCCTTCAGTTCTTGCTTGAATAACTGCAGTATCATCCAAACTCATTTTCATGTGTCTGGTGTTTCTCTTTCAGACCACCTTCCGCCCTGCTGCAGGTTGGGTTTTTCGAAGGGTAGATTTGATCATGTTAATTTCTTATTTATTTGTTTATTTATTTATTTATTTATTTATTTCTTATTTATTCTCCATGGTTTTCAGGCAAAAGGGAAAACTTTTTGGCTTACTGTAAAATTCCTTTGAACAGTTTCATTCCTGGCTACATCAGTGACTTCATCCCTTGCAACTTCTCTTCCTCCCTCCTTTTATGGCCCTGACATCTGGTTGCTTGTCTTTTATGCCCTGTGCTAGACCCTCGATTTGAAGTGCTAGCTGCTCTTCTCAGCTGCCTACTTTAGTTCTTTAAATGTGTGGTCAAACACCATTCCTCCAGGAATCACTCCCATGCCTGCAGTCTTATTTCTCTATTGCTGGTAATTTTCATAGGTTTTGGGTTATTAGTTTGCTTTTATTTTGCCACCAGACACACTGCACATTCTAAAAACAATCACTGTATTCTATTCAACTGTGTATCTCTAGCACGTACCACTTTGAGGAATACACCAGACACATGCTATTACTTACTATATAATAGGAAATAGGTAGTTTGGGGCCAAGTCCCAGGAGGTTCCTAGATATAAGGTTGAGTGTAGTCTTTAAATAAATCCACTGAACGTTTAAGGGCAAAAGGAGTCATGTTTTTTGAGCCATCCTTTAGAAAGAATAGCATTCAAAGAAGTTTGTAGTGGGGGAGGTAATACTGGTTTTAAAAATACTGGTCTTGTTTTTTTGCCTTGAAAGATGTTCATTGACTATTTGAAAATACATTTCTGGACTGATGAGCAGTGTGGAATTCAGATGAGAAGCTGGGCTAGTGGTAGGGTTTAGGACACCATTGGTGTATGAAGGGAGATTGGAGCATGTGGATGTGGAAGATACCATTCTATCAGATATGGAAGTGAGACCAGCAGAGGGGTGAAGGAAAAGTCCTATAACACAGAAATGTTATAGGGTAGGACTGGGTAGTAGGAACTATAGAAGAATTGGTAGGAACAGTCAAGGAGTTAGTAGGAGAACCAGAACAGTGTGTTGTAATGGAACACACTGGCACACAGAGAATGAATATGGGGGCAAATTTGCTTATACTAAAATATGGGGGTATGGGGGGAGGAAACACTTATGTGGAGGTGGGTGTATGAAAAATCTTTGGAACTTTTGCCTAATTTTGTTGTAAACCTAAAGGAGTTCTGAAAAATAAGATCTATCTTAAAAAACAAACTATGAAACTTTATGTAAATGTAAGTTGTAGGAAAGTGGTGTGTTTTCATCTAAACTCAGGGTTGGAAGACAAAATCTGGCTTTTATTTTCCTCTTTACTTACTGGTTGTATGATGAGGGACTAGTTAACCACTTCTCTGAGTTCAGGACAAAATAAGATTCATAAATTTTTAAGTGCCTTTTGTAAACTGTTGATTTTTATTTATTTATTTTTTTTGGTGTGTGAATTGAGGTTTGACTGAATTTTAAAGTCTAAAGTCTATATTTGGGAAGTAGTTGTATATTTTTTTGATTTTTTTTTGTTTTTTTCTTTTTAAAAGAGTCAAATAAATGTTCCTGGTTGTGAGACACTACCCTAATGAAATTCTCTTCTGCTAGGAGAGGTTTTTAGTCATGACAATGGTAGGGTGAAGCTATTTCAATGCAAGATGGGAATTTGTGATGAGGGGCTATATAAATTAGAAAACTCACTGGATTCACCAAATTTTACTGTTTGCCTTCCTTCCACAAGGTATTGTACCAGAGTCTTTGAAAGATTAATTTACCATTAATTTCTCAAAGATTAATCTCCCAAAGATTAATGGTAAATAACACAGATTTTATTCTCTTAAATTACCATTGAGGGGTTAGAACTACATCAGAGCCCTTAGCTTTCATGATGGTGTAAGAAAAAGTGACATGTTTACAAAATGGAGTCCTTTAATTATAAATAATATTAAAACGGAATTCTTTTAATTCCTATTGATAAGCTTCCCATAAATTTTAAGTAGAAGTTTTTGCAGGTAGGGGTCATGGAACTCAGTGCAGTTCTTTGCTCTCTATTATTGTACACAAAGTTACAATGATATTTAGGGACTTTTAAGAAAAATGTCAGTGTTGAAGATACCTCTGAGCCACTTTGCTCTGACGAGAGGAGAAGGTCACAGACTCCATCTTTGGCTTTGTCTGCTCTCTTGCACCTTGAATGATTTTTGGTGGGACCTGGAGAGACGTAGAAAAAAACTTTGGGTGACTTAGCAAAATCTGCCATTCTTTTCATAAAAAGTTTGTGTTCTGCTGACAGATCATTACAGTCATATTTTTCTATGAAGAATAGTGCTTTTCAATGACCTCTTTCTGTCTCCTGTTTTTTTTTTTTTTTCCCCCTCCTCCCTCCTCTGCAGTTTGAAAAAGAGTTTACTGACCACCAAGAAACTCAGGCCCAATTGCAGAAAAAAGAAGCAGAGATTAATGAACTTCAAGCAGAGTTACAAGCTTTTAAGTCACAGGTAAAATACCATCTTTCTTGATTGAATTTGGGTATTGAAAGCTTACCAGGGAAACAAAGGTCATGTCATATCTTCATAGCTCAAAATGTTTCAACTTTAATTTTACTAGTATGTTTTCATGGTATTGTTTCTATGTATTTCTATTCTGTAAATTTTTTAAAAAATGACTTTGACCCCTTTTTTTTCTACTTGCATTTTTAAGAAATTTACTAATTAATCTGTTTCCTTATGTTTCATTTGGGTTTTGTTCTTAATGTCACGTGTTTTATATGTAACCATAAAGGGTAAGAAAGTATTTTACTCTTCGATTTGTCATTCGTCACTGTTCTTTATCCCACTACAGGAAATTATTGCTCAAGCTATTTATTTTTCAAAACCTTCAGCCTATGGGTACCTTGCAGTGAAAGATAACCTCTAGCTGAATGAGAACATTTTCTGATAATTTTTCAATTTCCAAAAGTAAACAGATTTAAAACATGACAAAAAAGAGAGCAAATCTGGATTATGAAGCAGATAGCTCACATACACCCTCCACACATAAAACATTTAGATAGCAAGAAATATATCATCTGCATGTTGTAAATGGATGACAGTAAGGAGTATAATATTCATAGCTAAATTTCTTCATGCAGATTTACATATAGGATGATGAGCAGTATGTATAGTTTTGGCTCATTTTCTTTCATCCGAATTTATGGTTGTGTCAAAATAGTCTCAGATGTACCATTTCCTATATCGGGTTACTATTTCCCATATTATTGGCTATTTTGTTTTCTTTTAAATACTTAGTGGATAGTTTTGTTACGGAGATTGTAAGAAGGTACCCGAAGACATAGTTCAATGTTAAGTGTCCACTTTTAAGGGAAAAAACCTCTTTTCTGTAAGAATATGACTCTCACTGATCTTTCTTTAGTGTGCAAGAAGGAAGTACAACTTATTGAAACTTTTCATCTTTCCCATGTGGCTCCTTGTCTCTCACACTAAAAGAAACATTTGATTGTGTTTTATATTTCAGATTGAGTTATAGGCAGGGGCTGAGATATTTATGTGCAGCTTCTCTTGGTCTGGGCTAATAGAAATTTAAAAAAACTTTTTAATTTCTTCTAGTTGAAGGATTACTTGTAAATCCAATCTAAAGAATCCCTGTTGATTGAAAAAAGAAAATAGCCTCCAAGTTTGGATATATTATTGCTGTTTGTGTTTTATATAAATAAGGGAATGAATTTATTTTACAACTGAGATTAAGCCCAGGAATCTCCTATGTTATTTAAAAATGTGGATAAGGATGACTAGTTTTGTACATCAGAAGCAAGCCTGGAATTAGACACTTAGTATCGGCTACCATATTAATTTTTGAAGAAGAATAGGAATTTTTTTTTTTTGATTGGTGTGTGTTTCTCATGAAATCCATTCATTTGTCTTAAGATTCTTCTCTCTGTTCAAAGCCATTTTAATTATGAAAGATATGAATAAGACATATTCTGTTTTTTATGATTTTATTCCTTTATTCTCTTAACAACCAACTAGTGTCAGGTGCTGGGGATATGGCAGTGAGCAGGTTAATCACAGGATAATCTGACCTCCCGAATGATACATTTAAGTCAACCGTACTCATCGAATGAGCTAATATGGAGCAGAAATCCAACCATATCTTTAAGACATTTCTAGTTAATTATAAAATGCATATTGAGTGTGAATATAACATACATACTTAACATTCAGAGGGCAGTACTATCCATTCTAACAGCAAAGCAGCATAATGCTGGATTCATTCTACTGTGTAGTTAATGTTTTTGTTAAGATACATGCTTTGATTTTTGGTTTCAGTTTCTTTTATAACACTTTTTCTTTGTGCTGATCTCAGATGTCAGTGTCAGGCTTTTATACATGATCTGTTTTTCCATAATTGTGCCATGAAACTTTTAAAATGATTTATTAACATTTATTAAATGCCACCATTTGCAAGGTGTTTTGTGTATGTGTGTGTGTGTGTGTGTGTGTGTGTGTGTGTGTGTGTGTATCTCAGAACTGAAGTAATTATAGGAAAATAATCCTATCACAAAAAATTATCAATTCTCATCTTTATAATAATTAAAAGACATTTATTCTTACCATGGCATGGAGACAAAAGGACAAAAATGACCAGTGACCATATTTAGCTCTTTTTCACTCCTGATTTTGCATTGCTTCTCTGTGACATTGGACACTATAAACCAGCACCCCCCCCTCCTCATGTGACTCATGAACCTGTACTTGTCTGCTTTTTCTCTCACCTTTCATTCATTCATTCATTCTACACAAATTTCTTCACTGGCTGTCATTTGCCTGTTGCCACTTTCATTGCTGGAGAAAGAGTAGTAAATTCTGTAGACTTCGTCACTTCCCTCATGGAGGTTATAATCTTTCAAAGAGATAAATGCTTATGATCCAGTGCAATCCAAGAGAAGCACAAAGTACTCTCAGTGTAAGAGGAGTGGTCAGAGCAGGCTTTCCTGAGGAAAGAATGTGCTAGCTAAGACTGAAAGGATCGGAGGGAAGTGAGCCATGTGCCAAGACTCGAGTTCCAGGCAGAAGGAATAGCATGTGCCAGGGCCCAGAAATCGCTGTGAGGTTGGCATCTACTTGGAATTGTATGTGAAAGCCAGTTCACGAGGACCATGATGTGCCCCCCTGCAGGTCCTACTTAGGAATTTCAGATTTTTTTTTTCTCTCAAGGTAAAGACATGATGATCTAACAGTACTATTATAGACTCTCTGATCTTTTTGTTGTTTAACTTCTCATTTAAATGCTAGTATTCTATAGAATTCCGTACATAGACTTTTCTTTATGTTATATGCTCTGTTCATACTGAGTGAACTTAGCTACGCTCATGACTTGAACTATCACCTAGAAACTGCTGATTTTCAAATCTTCTAGACTTGTATACCCATCCTTCTTGGACATCTCTTCCTAGATGGCCATAACAATCAAAATAGGAAATAATATTTCTGGCAGTTACAGTTTTATGAAAACAAAAGTGAAATTCTTTAATTGGGGGGGAAATCCAATTTGGTTAGAATTTTGTTTTGTTTTGTGTTGTCTTTTTTTTTGTTTGTTTGTTTGTTTTTGGTTAACCCATGTGAAATTGCTGATAGTGAATCATCTTTGATTTAAATAATAATTTTTGAGGAAAGTGTACCTTTACACGCATTGTAGATGTTTTTAGTCATGTTTCTTGTCTCTTCTTCTCCTCTAGTTTGGTGCCTTGCCATCTGGTACAAATAACGCTTTGCCGCTGTCCAAAGAAAATGGAGCTGGCCCCCCAGCACTGGCTCCTCCCCCGCCACTGCCGTTCTGTGGAGGTGGGCTGCCTCCACCCCCTCCACCTCCTCCTCCTCCACTTCCAGGAATGCCAATGCCCTTTGGTGGTCCTGTGCCCCCACCACCTCCCCTGGGATTTCTCAATGGGCGAAACTCTCCTCCTCCACCAACCCTACCATTTGGATTAAAACCAAAGAAAGAATTTAAACCTGAAACCAACATGAGAAGATTGAATTGGTTAAAGGTAAAACAGAACTAAATGGAAGAAAAATACACTATCACCTACATTAAAATTTAATTTTATATTTGCTTGTATTTAATTTCTAGTGGAAATTCTAATCACGGTGACATTAAATAGACAGGCATTATTTGAATTAAACAAAAGTGTTGAGGCAAAGCCCTTTTCTCTCTACTAAGGCTTTCTAGTTTAGAAATTTGGTAAGAGTTAATAATTGTTAAATGGGATTTGATTCATCATCAAATTGGTAATTCAACATTACCATTGAGCCCATTATGAAGTGTTTCTCAAAAGTACAAAGAACGTTAATGTTCTTTGGAACTTTTTTGTGTTGGTAGCCGTTGGAAAAACCAACACTAGTTGTTGAAGTTAATATTCATTTAACCAGGACACAGAAATTCTGAATCCTGCAGAAAGATGGTTTCTTGGTCACACAGCCTTGGAAGGGGATGTGTAATGTATCCTGCACTTGAATTGTTGCTGTGCACACAAGCATATCAAAGACTCTGAGAGGTATAATTAAGAAGAAACAAATTTTATTTCACTCTGCTTCAAACCCTCAACTATGTGACAGTGGAACTTTTTTTTTTCCCTTAATAAAACGTTAGCTTCTTGAGGAGCTTGGATTTTATTGAACACACTTTGGGGAAAAATATTACAGGGATTACTTCATAAACATCTGCTGGCAGCTATGGGACCCTGGGTCTGAACATACTGATTGAGCTGGGACAGATGAAACACCGAACTATTTATGAATCCGTCTCTCTGATTGCAGATCAGACCTCACGAAATGACTGAAAACTGTTTCTGGATAAAAGTAAATGAAAATAAGTATGAAAATGTGGATTTGCTTTGTAAACTTGAGAATACATTTTGTTGCCAACAAAAAGGTAAGTTGAACATCATGCTTACTTGTTAATTTTAGTACATTAATGTTGCCAATTTTTATACATTAACTTCTAGAAAACATTATTTTAAGAGTCTTAGAGATATTTTTGCTTCACTTATGGTTAAATAAATTATCTAATGAAAAGAAATGTTTAAAATACAAATTTTGTTATTCTGATTACTGCATGAGAAATCTTTAAAACGCAAACGTTTAATATCGAACTTTGTCAAATTTTCAGTATAATATCTATTTTGAAGATGTTATGAATTGGACTTTTGAAAAGGAGGATGTTTTCATGGAGAATTTCGGCATGAGAATCCCTTTTAGAAAGTGGGGCATAGAAAAACAAACAAAATGTGAACATTTTTTCTAGTCAGAATTTTACCACCCTTTAATATTAGAATGATGGTCACAATAATTATTATGAATCACATGGGACAGAAATAACAAATTTATAGAATACCTTGAAAGTTAACTTAAAAAACAAGGATATGAGTAGGTTATATGATCTTTTCATTAAAAGTAATAGCATTCATTTCCAATTATTTTTTGTGATAGCTTTTACTTGTTTGGTGTGATTTTTGTTTTGTTTTGAAATAACTCAAACATTATTCTTGTCTGAACATTGGATTTCCACCACATGCTTCAGAGCTGATACGCACTTAAGCTATTAAGTTAATTTTTAAATTATGTAATGCTTACGTTTTAGGTCTATATTCAAGGTACTTAGATCAGTGATTACCTTTTAATTTTCAGAAAGGAATCTTTTTCACCATAAACCATGCCACTTATGACCCTGGGCTCATTGAGCACAGAGAGCTGGAGAAGAGAGACTGTATTCCATCTGGAGATGGGAAGGCTTGCTATAGACAGGGAAGAATTAACTTCTTAAAATACCTACTGTGGGGGCACCTGGGTGGCCCAGTCAATTAAACATCTGCCTTTGGCACAGGTCATGATCTTGGGGTCCTGGGATTGAGCCCCATGTTTTTGGGGGGGGTCCCTGCTCAGTGGGGAGCCTGCTTCTCCCTCTCACTCTGCCACTCCTCCAACCCCATTTGTGCCCTCTGTCTCTCTCAAACAAAATCTTAAAAAAAAAAAGATACCTACTAAGTGATAGGCACTATGCTATGTATCTGATTTAACTTGACAATCACGGCAATGAAAGGATATTGACAGATACTAAAAAAAAAATTGCATTCCTTTGAAATGCTTGTAAAATAGAACTATAAATTAGAATCTCTTTCTAAAAAGTAGTTGTAAATTAAAAACTCTAAAAGGTAATTGTGAATGAAGGTGGTTTCCCAGAATTTTGGATAAACCCAAAGCCTTCAGCAGATATTTTTGGGCACTGTCCTTGTTCAAAATAGTAAAACTGATGCATTTTGATCTTTGAAAACAGTAGGAATTTTCTCAGCAAGCTTATCCTAGGAAAACTTGTGAAGTAAGCAGATCTTAATTTTACCTTTTGATTATGGAGAATGAACATTTTCTTTGAATAAGATTAGTGTACTCTTCAGGCAATCAAGGAAAATATATGGCAGTTAAAATGTGTATTTACATGTAAAACACTTCAGAATTTCAGATTCCATAATCTGGAATTGATTAGTTTTCCCTTCGCTTCCCTAGTAGGTACAAATGGTGGTACCTTAAAGCAATTTAAGTAATACTGCCATCCAGCTACTGTCTCTTCTTTTTTTTTTCTCTTTACTCTGATTACTTTCTTAATTAATGAGGCTCAAAAGGGAAACTTGTTAGCATGTCTTTAATTTAGCTGTAGTGCTAGCCCTAAATGAAATAATTGGACCTTTAAAAAATTCTTAAGTCATCTAACTTTAGCCTTGAGATTCAAGGTTGAAAAAAAAAACAAACAAACAATGTATTTGTTGAATCTAATGTTAGTTATGAAGCGTAAGGTGAGGGAAGGATGATCTTTTTCTGAGTGTCCTGTACTTCCATCCCTCTCTTTTTTGGACTTGCTGTCCCCTTGGCCCGGAGTCTCTCATTTGACTTAGAGGCTGTCAGGGACGCATGACTTCTATTGTCTCAGCTCAGATGCTACCTTCTTTCTTTTGTGACAGTGGAAGATACTTCCATGGATCAGATTTCCAAGGTTGTCATCCTGGGCGATGCCAGCATTTCATAGTCACAACAGGAAATAGGCTGAGAAGGTGACAACTTTTTGGTCTGGATTTTAAAGAATAATTCCTAGAGAACATTATTCATGGAGAATTAAGAGCACTTTTTAGTATTCCTAGTACTTAAGATTATAGTGGAAAACAAAATTGCTGCTTTCGGAGAAGCAGGATTTCCTATAGCCATTATGTAGAAAAGATCAGAAAGGAAGGCCAGAGGAAAGTATTTGGAAAGCTTAGACAAGACTGAGGGCTGGTGGAGTGGACATGTCTCTACTTGTCTCTTTATTCACAACCTGGCCCCTGAGGCTTTAGGTCCAAGTCTTAACTTTTTGCCCATCTCTCGTGACTCCTGAGGTTACTTTGAATCAATTTTGTGATTTTCGCAGAATTCAAAATTAAACCTCGTCACTTATTATTCAGTCCAAGGTGGCCCTACAGTTGCTCTGCTCCCTAGCTGTGGGAGTTGGGGAAGATAGAGGCATTGTCTACTGGCTGATTTTTCATCACTGGTTTGGATCACAGCACAGCTCAACAGGGAAGGTCACAGGATTCTCATTACTGGAGACTCTACTCGGTTTTAGAGAACTACCATTATCTGGTTTTCACTGCAGTAATTATTTTGCCAAAGAACTAGGGCATTTTGTGACAACATGGATGGGCCTCGAGGGCATTATACTAAATGAAAATAAGTCAGACAGAGAAAGACAAATACTGTCTGATTTCTCTTCTATGTAGAATCTCAGAACAACAAACAATAAAAGCAAACTAAGCTATGGATACAGAGAACAGATTGGTGGTTGCCCGAGGCCTGGGTAGGGGAAGTGGGCAAAAGGGGGTATAAATTTGTTAAACAAAAAACCCAGAGCTATTTCTCTGATTACCAAGGTGGAAGTTCCATCCCAGGAATTTAAAATGGTAAATGCCAATCAGTTGTGCTCCCTAAACATTTGAAAGAGGTAGAAAATAAAAAGAACTGAATTCAATCATTTACTCTCTATCTGTTCTAATCACATACTCTATTTTTTTTATTACTTATTGTTATTTTATTATTATTATTATTTTATTATGGAAGACACTGCTTTGGGTTTTACAGTCTTTCAGGTTAAGATGACTGGGTTTCACTGGTTTTTAAACCCCTGAAACTTGGAAAAGGAAGAGGGCCTTATGGTAGCCTAATAGTACCCATAAAGCACCTGTAGTGTACTACTCCCTGAGCTGGGCTGTCTTCATGTTACTTTGTCTAATCAGTACCACATCTCTGCTGAGATCTTTCTCCTGCACAACAATGCTGAGTCCCCAGAATACCACTGTGACCCACGCTCTGGTAGACATAGCAAGGTATTCTAGCTGTGAGCTTGGACATTTCCTCCTGACTCATGTTCTTTTTTATTATATCTCCATCTCGCCCGCTCCTACCCGTTAGATTTTAATAATGTTGTCTTTTAAACTAACCTCCTGTGATGTTTATAACATTGCTTTAATAGGAAAGTGCCTATGCCCTATCTTGAGGAGTATAAGGAAATTCTCTCAGCCTTTTCTTGTGAAATCAGGAAGTTTCCCTGATTCAGTTGTATCACTTTCTCTTTTATACCTTATTTTTCTATCAGGTATCACTTTGGTTTCCTTGCCTTTCTCAGTCCTAAATTTTCGAGCTCTATCTTAGCTTTCCATATTTTAAAGTCTTCTGAAAATAACACGTAGACACTTTTCCTGGCTATATTTCTCTTTTTTTCATTCTTCTTCATTCATTGCTCCTGCCTTTTCTCTTTCTTATATTTGGCTACTGATGTTCAAGTCAACAAATATTTATTGGGTGTACATTTTATGTTAGGCCTTGTGATTGGCACTGGGGCACTGTAGAGAGAAAGGCAAACATGGGCCCATCCACATATTGCATTCACAATCTCTGTGAAACTGTCAAGTTCTCCGTCATGTTGAAGCATCAGAATGAGGAATGAAAGACAAATGTTGATTTTGATTCAGAAAGGACTGCCATGATTTACTCTCTTGGGCTCCTGTTAAAATTTAACAAGATTATAAAATAAAATTGTGTATATATCTCTTTGAAATGTAATCACAATATTCATATATTGAACATTTGGTATCATCAAAATAATGCTAATGACCTGCATATTTTTTACCAGATTGGAAGCATCTGTTGGCTAATTTTTACAGGCTGTTGGAAAATGGATTAACGTATACTAACAGGTTATTGGTGTTGGATTTATCAACTAAAATTAATATTAACTACTTTCATTATTCACAAACTGTTAACTTAATAGGGATTAAAGGGCTTTCTATAAAAGTATGTGAATAGTCTAATTCACTTAGACTGATTTATTATAAAAATGTGATTCCACAATTGTTAGCTTTCTGAAATAATCACATTGTATAACAGGTGCATCCTATTTGCCAGATAGGGCCAATAAACTGGTTTATAAATAATTTCTCCACTGAACAGTTATGGCATACGGAAACAGTTAATGGATTATGCACTTAAAAACAAATCAAGCTTAGATTTCTGACATCGTAGTTCAGTGGACAAAGTGTTGGGGTGGGGAGTGTAAACCATGGATTATCCCAGGGACTTGGCTGTGTTCAGGATGTCGCCTTGTATTTGAAACACAATTTATTCCTCTGTATGAACAAAAGTGTATTAAAAATAAATCCTAAACTACCTCACAAGCCTACATTAAGATGAATAATATAATTTATAATCGTGTATTTTGGGAATGCATGTTAAAAAAGTGACACCGAGATGAGTGCAATGTATCTTAACGTTTTCTGAAAAGGCATTTGACAAACACTAATTTGGAAAGATTGAGGAGGAAGTGTGTGAAGAACTAAATATTTCCCTAGGGAT